TATGCTACATCATGATGATGATGCTACATGCCAAGTGATTGACAATGGGAAGCTGAGTGATGCGTTTGAAGTGAAAACAGGTTGATAGGTAAGACAAGGTTGTCACCTACTATCACCGATCATCTTCCTCATTGTGGTCGACTCGAGTGGATGATGCAAGAAACAAGTGTGAGGGGTGGGAAGATGGGCATACGCTGTTTGGCCGATGAGAGGACCCTAGAACATTTTGATTTCGCCAATGAATGAATCCTGTCAAGTCATTGCTTCTATGTGATGGGTGAGTAACTTGGTGCTTTATGAAAAGTATTTCCAACAAACTACAGACGTCCATCAACACCTGGCGCTGAATGAAATGGCGACGTGCTACTGAAGCCCTATATTGCACTAAGAACCCGAAGGACAAAATAATAATAAAAACCTATTATCTGAATGGTAACATGCTTGTTGTGAAGCCATGGTAATCGTTGGTGTGGGTGGGGGGACTCCAACGTGGTCCTGAGTGTATGGTCTGTCGACAAGTCTCGAACTAAAACGAATAAGCTGTTCATTGCTCCCAGTTTTTCTTTCCAATAATTCTGCGGCTCCGGGTGAAGTCAATCCATCCTATGGCTTATGGAGTTAAGCTATCAGTTAACATTTAAGTACTAAGAGGTACATGTTTACTCATATATTAATCAATGAACCAACGGTTTTCGCATGATGGAATAGACACTGTGAAGTAAATTGTATCAAGGTCTTATTTGTCTATGCTTGTTTATTCTTCCGGAAAGTTTTATAAAGATTGTTTTCTTTTTTTTTTGCTCTTCCATTTCACCTAACATCCAATCCCTTTTCAAGGTCATACAGTGTAGTGAAGTCTTCATATAGATTGTGTGGAATGTAATCAGCAATTAGATTCACCTCTATCCAAATCAGTCTGATTGATATCAGCACAACACTGTAACTTTTGTGTATGGAGCTCTGACTAGTTGGTTTAGGGAGATGACTACTAATCAGTGGGTCATGGGTTCGAGTACCGTTTCACTTTAGAAGGTTTGACCAGCCTCAGGTAGTGTCATCACTAGCCTTCATATAATTAGGTGGTTCATTTCTTGTTACTGGATGTGTGTGTGTGTGTGGACAAGGTGGCTGAGTGTGTCATCGTTGTGTTGGAGACGATCAATCTATATTGCTTTTTGAAGAAGAATACCTTGAGAAAACTAAAATTCAATAGAAGTATGATTAGTAGACTGTGTCAACATCCACTGAACAGTATATAAATAATTTGTAGATTAATATAGGAGTAAAACTTGAACACTTTGGTCGTTTGTAATTCCATTTTAATCTGTTTATTAGAAATGTCACGCACAGTCAATGAACAGTATCATTTACTGGATAACGTACTTTTCGGACACAATTTATTGTCAATATTCATATCAGGTAACCAATTCCACAACCTTGACATACAGTTTATATATAGTCCTAGTTGAATTTTCCACATATCTGAGACAGGTGTATGTAGTCGGTGTTGATTTGATAAACAAAGATTTAGTCGGTTATCCATCTCTCCCTCTCTTCACCTAAGTTGGTAGTTTTTAATGTTGTCGCTCTATCCCACTCCACATTATGGTTGTGTGTAATTGTGTCCGAAACTATAGACGAGCTTTTCTCTAAATCCCTTACCCTATTGGGATCTACTTATCTTGATTAGGTAAGATTTTGTGCTCTGTTATTCCAATAGACCCTGGCTAGTAGTCGACTACTTTGACTCACTTATGTATTTGACCTCACAACCATTACAAGGGATTCGGGATTTGATAAGCCGCATTATTCTGCTCACTTGCATCAATAGGAGGATCTTTTAACCTACAAAGCTTATTTCTAACCTTTGAGTTTGTTGGTTTGAGTGCCACTGTAATCCCAGCCAGCTTTATTGACAATTCTTCGTAATGCTGCTGAGGTGCCTTCCTTGTATGGTAACACAGTGGAGGCTTTGAATTCTCTCTCAACTCTGTCACTTTTATTACCATTAGTAGTGGAATTATTACTAATAACACCTGTATTATTGCTACTATTCATATTTTTCTTTCGACTTCTCATGAATTTATTGGTACATCTCTAGGTAGGTGGTTATTCAGACGCGTAGGGTATTGTTGATATGTCTAATTTCTTGTCGTCTATTTTCTGGTCTACTAGTTAAGCTTTCTTACCCCATCACTCAGGCATTTAACTGAGCCAAGTTTAAGTGAAAAGAGGTAGGAGGATTTGAAGTGTGAGTAGGAATTGGAATGGGAAGGTTTTGTGTAGACGATAATAGTGTCTCTAGACTTCCGTGTTGTGTTCGTTTAATCTTGTAATCCACCACTAGCTAGGTCGCCTTCATCACTTTCTGAGTCACAGGTGAATTGGACTGCATTCACTACTAAATCTATATGTGCCAATAATATTGTTGATATGTTCCGATTTCAGTACTGTAAACCTATCACCAAGATATCCAAACCATCTGTTCACAACTCTGGATAAATATGCCTGAGACAATAGGGGGGATATTGGTGATGCTATGGCAACACCTTGAGTTTGTTTATATGTGTATATTATTTGAAATGTAAAACCTGTAGATGTTAGGCGCAGTCGTACTGCTAGCCATGATTTCCTCGACCGGCACCTTAGTTCGATGCATAAGCTCATTGTCATCCTTTAGCTTATTTCTAACTGCCTCTAGAACCATGTCAGACGATATATTTGTGTAAAGGCCTAGTCATATCAAAACCAACCACTTTTTTTCATTGTCATTTCATTGTCATCTAATCTTTCCTTTAAGTGATAAGAGTTGATAAATAGAGATTTTAAATGATTTCTTATAGGGCCTAACGCTATGGCTAAATATTTTAGACAACTGGTAAGTTGGAGTGTTTCTAAAATCCACTAAAGGCCCCTAATAGAATAATATCATGGCTTATTAATTTTTTTTTAATAGTACCATACATTCTAGCGGAATTATTAGTTCTAGGCATTAAATGAAACTACTTTTGACTCACGTAAAAATGGCTTCATCGGACATATGAGATCCGCTATCGATTTCTTGACCTTATTCCTGTTTCTATATACTCGTTCACTTTGTAGTTGTACTCAGATTTGGTAATTACTAGAGGGAGAGAGGGAGAGAGCAGCAGCAGCTTGACTGTAGAAGTTGATTTCTCGATTGATAGAATCCGGTCAGTACTTAGGACTAGACAATATGAAATTACCCAGCGGTCCGCTGGTTCGAATCCGACCACGGTCCAAATTCACACCTCACTTTCGATCATCATCTAGTATCGATACCAAACCACAGCTATCTCAGATAGTCAAAAAGATAATGAAATTATCATTCGACTAAGATAGTCGTAGTTCGGCAGACTAGTATTTTTACTGAATGATGATTGAAGGTGAAATGAAAATGTGGACCGCGGCCTGGATTCGAATCAGCAATCACCAACTGAGCTACAAGGTTCGACTCCTGATCAGATTTTTATTTCACTTCAATCATCATCCGCTATATAGATAATGAAATTAGTTACTATCCAGTTACTACTAACCAATATAAAATTTTGCCTTTATTCAAAGATTTTCACCTTGTAAACTGAATTATATCTCTACACTTTGTTAAGTAGTTTCAAGTTTCAGTTGGAGTATTTCTAACATGCACTAAAGGCCCCTAATAGAATAATATCATGGCTTATTAATTTTTTTTAATAGTACCATACATTCTAGCGGAATTATTAGTTCTAGGCATTAAATGAAACTACTTTTGACTCATCTAAAAATGGCTTCATCGGACATATGAGATCCGCTATCGATTTCTTGACCTTATTCCTGTTTCTATATACTCGTTCACTTTGTAGTTGTACTCAGATTTGGTAATTACTATATATGACTATCATTTTGAAGGTTCCTGAGAGAGAGAGAGAGAGAGAGAGAGAGAGAGAGAGGGGAGGGAGCGAGAGAGGGAGAGGGAGGGAGGGGGAGAGAGCTTCTTTCTCTGATTTGAATAAAATTAGATTTTATTTTCTTCTGTTATTTCAGTGTTAGAGGACACTGTGCTCTTATCTATCTCATCTGAAATTGTCTTATAGATTGAAGTTTATAGCATTTTCTAATTTAGGGAATGATATCCTCTGATTTCAACTGATTAACCGCTTAAACTGAAGTCATCATCATCATCATCAACATAGGACCAGGCATTACTGCGTAACGGTCCGAGTTGCCACACCTCATATCAGCACATCAAGTAAAAGGTAGTGAGGTGAAGGATGAAGATAAGTGAATGCAGTCAAAAGAAATATAAAGTACGAGAAGAAAGGAAAGAGGAGTGACAAAATGGTGAGATTCGGTATAGCGTTGTTAAGATGAGGATAATGTGTGTATACATCTGCGCCACTGACTTCGGTTCTGAGCCATATCACTTAGGGTCTCCAACCACTGGTTCCTCTTGTCCCGTGGATCCCAACCACCTAGTCTGCATCGTCCTACATGGCTTAAACCAACAGTCAGAGACTTCATACATTCGTGCCATGTTTTAGTCTGGCCACCTCGGGCCTTTTTCCAGCCTGGACCCACCTCAGCCAACATTGTGTGACGAGGCAATCGGTGACTAGGCGTACGTAGTACGTTTAAACTGAAGTAAAGACGTTTCTGTAACATTTTTCACTTTTACTGAGGTTAAGACTGTAGAGTTGGGAGATTGATAACCTATTGTTGACTGCTTCCTCTTAAACTGAGCACTTTTTTTTTGCTTTTGGATTTTGCTCAATGCAGCTGATCTTACTTTTAATTGTAATTATTGTTCATCAGAAGGTGTGTGAAGTGTTGATCACCTGGATAGGAATAATATGTGGAAAACGCTGTTATCCAGTAAATGGATACTATTCCTTTACTATAAGATTTTTTTTATTTTAAAGTTTGTAAATTGTTTTATACTTTCTTTATGAGATTCATATGTCTTGGCTTAATCTATTTTCACTTTGTATTCTTCTCATTAGGACAACAACAGCAACAAAGCTTGAATTCTTCTACATTCGCTGTGACTTCGAATCCAACTACTAGTGTTGTCACTAGTATTGGGATAAATACTACAGTCACTTCTTCTACTTCTTCTGGTATCATTACTACTCCCGGTTGTGTTGTTGTTACCACTAATCCGAGTGGAAATACTTTATCCTTTGGTACATTATCAGTTTCTACGAGTAACAATAATAATAAGCAATCACCGAATACTACTACAGTTGGTGGTGGTGGTGGTGGTGGTATTCTTACCGGTGGACATTATGTTCATGAGAAAATCTCTTCCAACATTTCATCATTTTATCATCAGAATCAAATTTCAGATCAGGATATGATGAATGCATCGTATTTAACTTTTGCTCCTAATCAAGATATAAAACATACGATCTCTTCACCTGGACCTGGTTCTACTCCTGCTACTACTGTTTATCCATCACCCTTATAACTAGTTGATGAATTTATAGAAGTATTCTACGAAATTGAAGTAGTACATACAGAAAGCAAGATGGTGGATATTGCTTATTTGTTATACTCTTTAATGTGGATTACGCATTACCATCACATCGGTGCATGATTGTTATTGGTACAGTCACTTAGTAGTAGTCAGTCAGTCATGCACATAATCATCTACTTATAGGTCAACAAGTGTTAGTATTATCATCATCATCATCACATTTCACCTGTAATTTTGTTTACTTGTGTGTGTCTGTTTTGTTTATTTGTTTATGTTTATTTTTTTTTCTCTCATTCTTTTTACAAAAGGTTTTATTTTCTTTTTATTCTCCCAATTCCCTATACACTGTCTGTCGTACAGTTTTCTGTTTTGCCTTGTAACACAGCATCTTTGTATGTGTATGTTTGCGCCATTGATGTAAAAGTGATGACAATGATTTTACGATATTCGGAGAAACACTTCATCCTATCTTATCTATTCTGGACGATGTTGATCACATCCTCCGCTATAGAAACGATATCCGGATAGAGAGGCGAGGACATATAATGAATATATGCGTGTATGACAATGCACGTGTTGGACGCGTTCTAAGTATGCGTGTGTGTGTGTATGTGTGTGCGATGACTTTGCTTATTGTATCATATGCGCTTACCTGCACACATACACACAAATGTATCCTTCCTTACAGATATATACATATACACTCATTTAAAATACCAATTGACCTGTGTACGCGCGTGCGTGCGTGCCTGCGTGTGCGCTTTATAGGAACTTCTTATTACGTAATAGTATTGTCATTATTACTATTATCATTACTTCTGCCACTACTACTATATATTATTATTATTACTACTACTCAGAACATAGATGCTAGTTCCAGTTCTCATTTCTCATCTCCATACAGATCGATTCTATGAAACATTTCTTTCAACTGACTTATTGTTTACCTGATATCTATACATATATGCATAACACATGTATTGTGCCTTTGATTTATAGTCTCTCACCAAAAAGTGCTTGATTATTATTACTATTACTGCGACTACTACACTGAATAAGTCTCCACCTTTCTTCACCTTCTTGTGTGAATCAATGTGTTTATATGGCGTATTGCATAATTTTGTTACTCTCTCTCTCTCTCTCCTCCCCATACATACACTATTCCATCGTGAATGATAGATCAGTTTGTGTTTCTGACACCTGAATTCCTGTTTGTTCTAGCTTTATTGTCTTTTAAGGGCTGTATTCATGAAATCCTGTCGCTGCGCTGCACTGCACTGGACTGCGCAATGCGTATTTCAGTCGAACTATACCGAGATCAATGTTGTATCTGTGTATTCCTGTTTTCTCTTTTTCATTCGTACATTGATGTTCAGCGTGTAAGCTGTATCGCGTACACTTCTCTTCTTTCATTTTTTTCCCCCCTGATGGACGCTTTGTTCTTGTCCACTTCTCTTGTATTATGGATATACAAGAATGGGATATTGGTTAGTCCATCCACTGTGTAATATGTGTGTGTGTGTGTGTGTATCCCGTAGGCTCTGGTTTACTCCACGAGCAGCAATAGTCTTATACTATCCCTGATTATCAGATGAATTATTCATTCATCTGCCAAGTTTTATGCCGGTGCATGTGTGTGGGTGTTGATTTGCTTTCTCCTTTTTTTTCTTTTTGGCTCCTTGATTTCATGGATTTATTCACAGAGTTATGTGTTCACTGGAGTCTTCATCATTTTTATTACATTGTCATCATTATTCAGTATTACTTTTGTAAAGTAAGATACAAGAAACATTGTGGTATGAAAATAGCGTAATTTACTCACTACACTACTATGTAATGTTACTTGGTGCTTATATATGGCCACTACTGCTACTTACTTACTTAGTTACTCCTAATTTCCTGTCCATGATTTGCTGTTTCCTAGTTTTACTTCCTTGTATGAGCCTGTGTGTGTGTGTGCTACACAGTAGACTCTTTTCTCATTGTATGCCCCTCTTTGTACATAATAGATTGTTATTGTTCGTTCTCTTTGTGTGTATGTGTACGGGATCTTTTCGTTTCTCCTCTGGCTAACCATCGTCATCATCACAGAGAACGACACCAGCAGCCGACCCTTTCACACACACACACACACACAGGCTGTTTTTTTGCTTATAATAAATCAACTATTATGTTCTATGGACAAAATGAATTGTGTTGTAAAAATAACACCGATGATTTCATTATTATTGTTTGTTTTCCAACCTAATCCCGTCGGCCGCCTTTTTCTACTGATTCTCATTTGATGATACAGTTGAATCACATGAAGACGAACTGGAGGAGATATTGTCATCAGTATTGTTGCCTTGTGTATGTAATCAGCTTCTGTGTGTGCATGTTTTTTCCTTTCTTCTCCCTGACTTTTTCTCTACTCTTGATTGCATTATGCTACTCATATACATAAATATACTACTCATATATCCTTATTATGATTATTATCAATTTGATTGTTGTTATCATGGATAATATTTGAAGACAATGGTTGATTCTGGCACCCCTGTGTGTGTATGTTTCATTTTTTTTTTCTACATCGACTACTTGCTGTTGTTCATATTTGACTGACAGAGAGAGAGAGAGAGAGAGGGGACTGATTAACCCTTGTTATATCTATCTTCTGTGTTAATGATAACACTCCATACAATCTTTATATTCCATTAATTGGTTTCTCATCAACAATACTACACTTAATTGCCTTAGGATGATCTATCTATTATAGTATTACTTGTTCACATACACACGCGTATAGACAGTTAACTCTATGCATAAGTTGCGTTTTAACACTGATTTGATTTCGTACCTACCTACCTACTTATCTACCTAGCTACCTTTTTTTAAGGGGAGGGGGGGGGGCTGATTCCTTTTCTTTTCTCTTAAAGTGAAGTTGATCCAGATCATACTTATTTGTGCATGTGTTTATATATATATATATATATATATATATATATATATATATATATATATATATATATATATGACGAGACGTGCTTTATTCTTATTCAATATCTGTTTCCATCCATGTTCAGCTTATTTATAAATGCACATATATGCGAGTGAATTTATTGGTGGGTTCCAATCCCAGTGTATTATTATAATTATTATTATTACTATTGTTATTCATGTACTTATTTATTTGCTTATTTTACGCCGATTGCCCCTGTTTGACCGACCGCCTTTCCTCCCTTTACCCCTCCCTCTTCCCTATTCTTCATCTATTTACAGCTCTCCATAATTTACAGTTTCTGTACATATTTATATATACATATATATATATATATTTTATTTACAGTAATATTGTTCTCCTCTGATGTAACGTTGTTCTGGTGTTGAGGAATGTTGCTGCAATAGAAGCAGCTGGTAATTATTATCATTGGATGTAATACCAATTACCATAGTGAATGTACAACGGTTGTTGTCATTGTATTGTATTCTTCTAGCGCACACTTACATCACCTGTCCACTCCCGCAGGTTGGTTCCTAGTGGAACATAGAGCTTGAGTAACACCTCTCCATTCCACTCTGTTCTCTGCAATCTTGTGAACCCGGCTCCACGACTACCCACAAGCTCTCATTTCTTCCTCACACCGTCTCCTCCATTTCACCCTCAACTGGGACGCCCAACTAGTCGTTTCCCATCTGGGTTCCAATCGAGGATCTGGCGCGTGATGTCTTAGTCTATGTCTAATCTAATATATCTCCACTTTCTCCTGCATATTTGTTGGACGACAGTTTCTTGCCTCGTTGGTTGATTCGTTGCCAGGCTAGAGTTCCTTCTTGCTTATTCTTTCTGGCCACCTCATCTGATCTTCAGTATGGAGTGAGGGTAGGCGGCAGGTGTTCATGATGTATGTCTGTAGTTTGTTGCGAATGCTTTTATTAACACGCCAAGTCTCTCAACCATCACATAGGAGCACTGACTTATTGTTGAAAATCCGGATCTCGTCCTTCATGCTGAGTGCAGTAGATCTCCACACTGATTTAAGATAAATGAATGCCTGTCTTGTTGTCTTTGACGTCCTCATCCGTGCCTGTGTCGCCTGTCGTTGAAACGATGCTGCCTAGGTAGCTGAAAGAAACAAGTTCGTTTAGATTACTCTACGTTTGCCTGAAGGAAGTCTTCCTTTGTTGCCCTGTCTGTTCTGCCAACTTGTTGGTTTTCGCTGTAGATCTTTGAGCTTGTGCGGTACTAAACGGGATTCAATCATGGGCGAAATCGAAATGTTCTAGGGTCCTCTCATCGGCCAAACAGCGTATGCCCATCTTCCCACCCCTCACACTTGTTTCTTGCATCATCCAGTCGAGTCGACCACAATGAGGAAGATGATCGGTGATAATAGGTGACAACCTTGTCTTACCTGTCAACTGTTTTCACTTCAAACGCATCACTCAGCTTCCCATTGTCAATCACTTGACATGTAGCATCATCATCATGATGGTGTAGCATAGAGCTGCTGCTGAACGAGGTTGATAAAGGTTGTGGCACTCACTTTGTAGTGTTGAAGCAGCTGCCAAATTACTTCTCGATCGAAGGCCATTTGAAAATCGATGAAGTTGAGGTGGAGATACAGTTGACTGGTATTCTACGCTCTATTTTACGATGTGTAGAGTAGTGTTTCAATTTGGTCCGCTCATGATTTGTACTTCCTGAAGCCAGCCAGCCAGCCAACCAACCAGCTAGCGAGCCTGTTCTGGTGGTAATTTAGAATGCAGAGGATTTCTCAGTCTCTCCAGGATGATGCGGTTTAATAATTTTGCTTGGTGTGTACGTGTACAGGTGTGGAGTATGATTCGCACCAGTTCTTGTTCTTGCAAAGACCTAGGTTGCCCTTATTTGGTGTTTGACAAGGTAGACCTTCTTTCAGTCGGCAAGTATCTCTCCTTACAAACCTTCTGGAATAGAAGTGGTGTAAGCATGTCCATTGCTCATGTCTCTGTATCTGTTGTCAGTGGTTGTG